ATACTTGTGTGAGTTGTGAGATTCAAGAAATTTTCGGACAATTTCGTACAACATGAGAGGAATTCGCAAAGGAAGTATAATTTCTAGGACTAATCAAGTAGCTCGTCAAATATCTAAAATAGCAAGTCCAATATCTCACTCAAGTCTAGTCCCAGACTACAATATAAGTTAAAGCATCTAATGAGGCAAGAATAACTCAAATAGTACAATTAAAATATTGTGTGAGTCCAAATCTACCTGTAAATAATCAGGAATTCTAGCATATGCACGGACACGCATCACCTCATACGTGTGTAGCTCCCATAACACGTTTCACATAACTAATATAGCACATACGAGAAAAAATTTCCCTCACACAGTTAGACAAGAGACTTATCTCGCTCCAAAATTCGATAATCGGCTCTAATGCCTCTCCAACCCCTCAAATCAATGCCAAAATGTCCAAAACTAGTCAAAAAATGTGCAAACTAATCAAAATATAGTCAAAGACTCGTAATTTAATCAATTAGAAATAATTCTCAACTCTACACAAAAAGTCAACCCCCGGGCTCACACGCCCTGATTTTGAAAATATTCAAAGATAAATACTACCAATAATACCATGAACTCAAATATATACTTTATTCCCAATTTTATGTCCAATTTTGTGGTCAAAACTCGAAAATATTATTTCTAGATTTTATTCCAAAAATCCCATATTTTTCACCTCAAATCTTGAATTTACAAGTCTATTCATACATATTTATGAAAATGGGTGAGAAACATTTACCCTCAATAAGTGGGTGAAATGGCCCTTCAAAATCACTCCAAAGTCGGCTCCAATTGATCCCAAATAAAAAATAAGAAAAAATTCCGAAATTCCAACTTATAAGATCTGCCCAGGCATTACTATTCGCGAACGCGACATGTGTCTCGCATTCGCGAAGCACAACTTAGCTCCTTCTCCAAAATCCTCTTCGCGATCGCAAGACTAGGTCCGCGAATGTGATGCCTTACCAGGTCGGACCTACGCGAATGCGGCCATGCTTTCGCGAATGCGACCATGCTTTCGCGAACGTGAAGCCAAACCTCCAGGTCTAGCTTCTATTTCGCGAAATGACCTGGCCATAGAAAACGCGAAGCACAACTACCAAACCTTCGCGAACGCGACTCGCCAATCGTGAACATGAAGCACAATCGAACTCCTGCTCAAATCCTTTATCGTGAATGTGTGCTTCCCACCGCGTTCTCGAAGAACAAAACCAACACCAACAAAACTCACCAACTTGGTCTGAAATACACCCGAGGTTCCAGGACCCCATCCAATCATACCAACCATTCCCCATACCTCATCAAAACTTATCCAAAGGCTCGAAATGCCACGACTAATATCAAAACCACGAATCAACGATCAAAATCCTTCTTTTAACTTTCAAACATTTAAATTTCGCCAAACGCGTCCGTATCATACTTAGACATTCCGTATCACGACCAAACTTCACACACAAGTTTCAATCAACTAAGTGAACCTATCCAAAGTCCCAGATATCGTCTGAAGCCCGATACCACCAAAGTTCACTCTAAGTAAAACTTAGCTAATTCAAACCTTTTTCAAAATGAAAACTCCGATAATAAGCTCCGAATCACTTTCGGATCATGCTATACTCAACCAGAACATACGTCCAAGTCCGAAATCACCTTACAAACCTATAAGAACCTTCAAATCCTGATTCCGAGGTTGTTTACTTAAAAGTCAAGCCTTGGTCAATTCTTCCAATTTAAAACTTCTGAATTGAGAATTATTCTTCCAAACCAAATCCGAACTTCTCAAAAATCAAAGCTGACTACACGAACAAGTCATAGTATATAAGGTGAAGCTACTCAAGATCTCAAACAGCTAAACGACATGTTAGAGCTCAAAACGACCGATTAGATCGTTACGTAACAGAAGTTGTGGTGAGGTAAGTTACCAACATTGATAAAGCAAAACCTTACAAGAAAATAAACTGAATATTAATAAAGCTTTTGATCGAACCCTACTTCAATCAGGGGTTTTTCATAACCATCCATCATGGGTTTGATGAGCTTGAATTGTCCTCAAACTCAATAATTTCTCTTCCAGGCTTGCAATATTCGAGCTTGCCTTTTTCAAATAATTTTCTTAGAGATGTGAGAAGTTCATAGAAAGGTTGAAATATTATTGTGAGTAACATGAATATACATCAACACTGAGGTTTCTTCAGCAAATACATAACCCATATGAAAAAATTATAAATATGGTATTTGATGACTTAAATATGGCGTAATTTCTTCTTTTATTTGAGTTAACCAAATAGAATTAACATACATTATTTTCAGGAACTTATACTATATTATAATTTGTATTTAATAATTAAAATACATCATTTAATAATATTTGTGTGATTTTTAAAATTTTGTACTCACCGATATTTGGGTACACGCACTACATGCGTATTCTAATACTAGTACTATATTACAAGCACGAAGACCCTTAGCAAAATATCGTTCACCTTTGTACCCTTTAAAATTTGATTTCACATTAGACGAAATGGTCATTTAATATTTTTTAATATTTAGGAATAAATATTTAATTAGTTGCCTTATATTTAGAAATAGATAATTAATTATTTTCCTAATATTTAGGATTTCTTTTCGCTCCTTTTAGGTTTTGAAGTCCCTTTTTCTCATAGTTTAACATGGTTTATGAATTCCTTTTTCTTATTAGAAAAATTTCGCCAATGTATGTTGTAGCTATCTAAATACAAGAGATATGCATACTATGTTAACTCCTTTTCAGAAATAATTATTAATTAATTGTATCATTAAATTGGAGCCGTGGTATTCCAAATAATATACGGCATGAACGAAGCTCATATTTGTAAACTTTAATCACACTCTTTGAATAACACGAAGCTCTCCTTTCTTTTTCCAGTAGGAATTACTTTTTTCAGTTATTTTTGTGTTCCCTTTTTTTGTGGCAATTAAAAAACAATTATTACCTTTGAAATTATATACAACTCACAAACAGGATAAAAACAAAGTCTATGCATTGGACAGTAGCCCAATTGCCATAGAGACAACAATATACTTTCCTCGCTACCACACAACTGCTACTTAACTTGGATAAAAGTTCAATTCTTATAGCTTCCTAGTTGATTTGGTGTTCCCGTTTTAAATATAGTTTAAAAAATTAAAATATTCTTTTAATTAAACTAGACTTACTTTTAAAAGTCCAAATTTAAATGAGAATTGATTATACAAATACAACAAAAATAAAAAACTAAATTCATGAGGTCTGGTTGAATGAATAATTAATTATAATGACACTTCAAAACCAAATACACACTTTCAATTCTAATTTTAGTCATTGGAATAAATTTTTAGTTGAATTATTAACTCATAATTGAGTATTTGTGCTGGACAATTTTTTTCATTATAGAGTTAATTATACACGATTATATTGATCACTTTCAGGAACTTATAGACAAAAAATTAGAAAATCATCAGTTTGATATTTATTATGTACGTGCTTGGAGTCTTACAAGGTTCATAAGGTGTATGTAATTATGTATGGCCCGTCAAGTTCTACAGAACAATCTAACAAATATTTTTCAGCATAATAATAATAATAATAATAATAATAATAATAATAATAATAATAATCATCATCATCATCATCATGACCTCGACCAACAAGTCACCCATAAGATGACTCATCTTGATCTTTCACTCTAACTTACTTTATTTTTTTTTAATGTACAATTAAGTACTCAAAGTTTTGTAGCAATACAATGTGCTATATCACTCGGCATACATGTGAAACGCATATGCAGAGAGACTAGTATATACTAAATTTGATCCGCCCCTGATGAAATATACCACCAATTGAAGAGAAGTGTTCTATATGGTGATGCATGAACTATGGCTGCACAGTCAAGCACTAAACTTTTATACAACTAAATTTGGTCCCTAAAAAACCAACGATTGATGCAAATGGAGTAGAAAGTTTAGTAGAGTTACAATAGTGTAAGCAAGAATTTGCAATTTCTTTGTGAAACCACCAAAGGTCGTTGGTGATGTTTAGTAAATTGCTACTGGCTAATGCTGGTTATGTTTTCGTTAACTGTCGTACATCTCTTTATGCCATAGCATTATTTTTCCTGTTTTTTGAGCGAAATTAAATTGCTTAGCGACTTAATTTCACCTTTGGTTCGCACTGAATATTTAGCGCCGACGAGCACAAAACTGACCCCAAAGCGTTCCACAAAAATGCACAATAATGAGAAATCCTGAGCTGTTATAGTATAATCAACAATTTTCCCGAGAGGCTGAGCTAGAATTTAAAGCTTATGTTTTTGAAATTTTAGCCGTTTTAGGTTAATAATGTATATATATTAAATAATTTTTTTAAGACAAATACAAAATTTGAACCAAAATTATTAGGTTCTACCAAACATGTACTTTTTACTCTAGCTTCACCCATGCTTTTCCATAAGCCAACTACAGTTTAATCGTGCTTTATTAATAATTAAACCCAGTAAGACTGGATTAGCTCATACGTCACATGGGTGGATTTTGGATTATGCAAGTGTTTCTCCACCCTTTTTAATTTTCTACTTTGTAGTAATCTCTAGTTTTACTTTGGGACTAGCAGAATGTTTAGAATAAGCTTTTTCACCTTGCCTTTTCCCTTTAAAAGTTCTGTTCCTTTCTTTTTAGCTGTCCGATACAACGTGGTACTTGATCTAATATTGGTAACAGAGGAACATCAACATTCCAAAACTTAAACATGTTTGGGCCTATTTGTTTTAGGTTATGCAATATGAAAATTAATATTTTATAGAAGAATATCAGTAACTGTGATTAATGAAACTGATTATATTAAAGATTATTAAATTAGGTGAAATAATCCAAACTAAAGCAACCCTTCTTTTTAGCAATTCTTCGTCTTTCTTTCCCTTGTATCTTTTCTGAAGTCTAACAATAAGAGAAAGAGGCCAGAAGAAAAACTAAATTCGAGAAATTTCTCTGACTTGTATCAACCAAAGTATATACTAATATACAAATATCCCCTACCTCCTAAGTCCTAACTCCTAACATACACAAGTGAGGTCTTGGTTATATTGACAGACGCTTTACAAATTTTAAGGTAACGGTAATATTATATGGAATCTTCATGCTCTGTGTCAACTTGGAACCATGTATGTCATGTCCCAGGCCAGTCAGCACCCATATGTGAATCAATTCCAATCTGTAGTACATACAGATGATGCTCAAATTTATTTAAGGAATAGTACTTCAAATTGAATAGTAATAAATATAACATTGCATGTCTCCACCACGATCCCAAGTAAAAGAAAAGATCTTGCATGAAAATAGGGCAGACCTGTTCATCAAAGCTTGCAGGAATCTCAAACTCGGTACCAGAAGCATTTGCAAGTTCGTCAAGATTATCCTGCTGAACCAAGAAGCCTGGTAAGTGAAGCTTTTGAAAGGTTCTGTTATAGATCTTGTCCATCGAAAAATAAATAACAGTCACGAGTGAGTTTCTTAAGCACCTTTTGTTTTTTCCCCTAGGCACTAAATAGATGAAAAGTTACCTCTTCATCAATGTCAGCTGAAGAACTTCCAATACCAACAGGAGAATTATCAACAAAGTTTTCAGCAGCTTCTCGCATATCCTACATTAAAGTAATCACCAACCTATCAACATTGAATACACTGCTTGAAATCTATGCACGTGGAAGCAAATGTAAATTCTTTTTCTTCCCCTCAAATCAAAGTATCATATAAAGGGCATTAGGAGAGCGTCCGAAGAGGGACACATCAGAAAGCCATGCAAGGATCAAAGCATCCAATACCTCAAGCCAGGTGTTCTATACATTGATGAATTCTACTTTACAAATGTACCCAAAAGAAAAAACTATGATCTTCCAAATACAGACAAAAACAAAAAGGGTATGCACATAATGTGACTAAGCTACAAAAACAGACAAAAACAATCACCGTAAATTAACTCCTTATCCACCCAAAAGTAGAACACTAAAAATTGTAAGGTCCTTATCTACCCACATTAATCTTCCGAGATGGGAATCCTCATTCAGACAACTCAGCCCTTTTAGGGGCAGCAAGGAGGGATCCGTGCGATCACAACATCACTTAAGCCATTAAGTCAAGGATTAACATAATAGAAATAACAATTTCATAGCCATCAGTATAAACAAAAGAGACTTCAAATATGACAACCAGCCACAGTTGCACACAAAAAAAAGAGGAAGAGAGACATGCCAGTGGGCAAACATTTTCAAATGCCAAAGTTTCCATTTCAGTTGAAACAACTACAAACTATAAAGCTGGGGTAAAAATTGATGGATGAATACATAAAGGAGTTCAAAGAAATTTGTGAGTCTTATGGCTATACACAAACACAGTTGGATGAAGACAGCAAACTTATTGACTTTGCTAGGGGACTTGGAAGTAAGTCTAAAATGCTTAGGACTGTAACGTTGGGGAAACCACATTATCCTTTAAATGTGTTTTCCAACTCACCAACACTCTCATCACTGGACCTCAAAGGAAGGATGACAATAAACAGAAAAACGGGAGGAATAGTCATCCATACGATTAACTCTGGGCACTAGGAGAGAGATAGTCATCCATGCAGTTGACTCTAGGCTTAGGCACTTGTAATTAATATAGTTCCAAGAAAACTGCATGCTAAACGCTGTTTCTCCGCTTGATCCCTATATAATAATTATGTCTTGATACTACTTAATTAGAGTAATAAATAAAAATTACCTCTTGATACTGCTTCTGGTCAGAACTCTCAGGTGCAACAGTAGGTAGCTTGATATCAGGAGTTCTCTACATCACAAAGGAAAAATCAGAACTACAAAATTGAGCAACAGATTACAGCCTACCAAATCCTTGACAAATAAGAGGTAACAGTATAGGCTTTTAGGATTTATATGTAAATATTGCTGTGCCAGAAATTTTTGGATCACATAGAAAAGCCTTAATTTGGAAATTTATGAAAAGATTTGGGAAAAGAATAACTTAGTAATTAAGAGAAAGATTCAACGTAGGAGTCTTCATCTCAAGAGAATTACACTACATGCTTGTTATTTAATTTCTTTTTTGTACCCTTTTAAGTGGGGTGGGGTGGGGAGGGGGGGCACTCCCGTGTTGATACTTCATGAAGCAGCATGGTCCAATGAGTATTAATCCTCAAATAGTCTACCACTGACAGTGTACATTAAACTGGTCCTGTAAGAGGGAAGTGTTACTTGTTCTCAATTTACTTACTGGCTCACTTTTGTCAAAGGGTACATGTCTCCCTCCCTTTGTAATATCTCTTAACATACCCTTCAAATGGACAAAAACAAAAGTTGAATAGCAAAATAAGTAACAAGAGCAAATAGATGGATAATACAATTGAAAAATAAATAAAAGAATCATCAAATTTAAGCATGCATTTATCCTGAGCATCTTGAAAGATAAACACACAATTCAATATTTGAAACATATCCAAGAATAAACAATCAACAGAAACCATGTAATGACATGCCTGGTTCGCGATCCATTATTTTCAAAGCAATAACACTAAGTAAGCCTTTATTGTTTTTGCCACAAGACTAAAATGGCAGTGCAAGTAAAGATCAACCAAAGGTCTAAGTCATTAGGTCTACTCTTAACCCAAGAATCTGGTTATCATTGATGTCGATTATTTCCTTGAGAAACTTAGACAGGAAATTAACGTAATTGCCTGACAGGCAGTTGAATCAGTAATTCATGATCATAAACTGAATGTCAGCAGACTAAAATGTAAAAGATAATTACTACAAACAAAGTTAACCTCTGTGATTAAAAGAGGAAAGCATAAGAAGTGTGTGTTTGAGAAATCTTTTTTTTTTTTTGTGAGGGGAGGGG